AAACACAAGAGATAAATAAGTTTCTAAACAAACTAAACTATCCAAATTAATTTTTTTGCATGTGTTTGATAAGATTTTTCTTTAAATTTCGTTAACAAGAATGATAGGGGTAGTTTATTTTAACCCCTTCCACTCATTTTAAAAAAGTGAAAAAATTAGCAGAAAGTGTGTTTTCATAACAGTAATGCTCCCATAAAATTTCATTAGTCTATCTCTTTTCGTTTTCAAGATAAAAAATAAAAACATTATTTTTCCGCCATCTTTGTACCGCGATATCTCCCTAATGGTTGACTTTTGACCCAACGTTTATGAAGTAAACTACCCTTTATTTTGAACAAGGAATCACTTCCTGAAGTTTTTCGCATTTGTTTTGAAACACCCTGTATAATTATATCAACTTTAATTCCTCAACTCAGTTATTTATAAACTTTAGTATTTGGCATATTATACAGGGTTAATTGAGGAGTTGCCTTTTTACCCTAACTTTAAAACACCCTGTGCAATAATTTTGTTTGTAAATTTTAATAAAATATAATTTTACGGTCAGAACCATGACTCTTGAGCATTTTGTTTTTCGATTCATGTCAATACATTCTTTGCCGGATCCAGTATTATCATTAAAGTTATGAATTTGCTTTTTTATATAAAAATGGCTACCGATTTTATGAAACATAAATTATCTACGCTAGTGATTTTCTTAAAAAGGCATGTTGTGGTGTCCCAAAATTCGAGTCCACTGAACATTTATACGGATATACCGTGCAAGTCGAGCATTTCCTTAATCCTATTAAATGGACCTTTCGTTAATGCTTTCGATGGCCGAATACTGTTAATTAAATCACTCCAAAGACGAAATCTTTCGCGTCAAACTAAATTAATATCGAAAAATCCGTGGGGCTTAATAATAATTACATCAAAAATTGTCATGTCCAGTTATGTATACTGGGTGTCGTGTTCACTAAGCAAATATATTTGGCGATTTTTTTTGGATATTATGACGCTCCTCCTCATAAACTAAACTTAGTCAGCGATAGAAAGAGGTACACCAATTGGCATGGGCCTCCTCGATGACCTGACAAGTTTACAAGAGAACTTATGAGTCAAGAGAAACACTCGAAGTGGCGGTACGGGGGATGTTTAATAATGTCGACCGGCCGTTCTGTGAGATAAGCTTGTAATTCAGTTTTATAAAGATACATTTTATGTAGGTACTCAAAACATTGCCGGATTTCTGAACATTTGATAAAATAACCGTGTAATAAAATAGTCTGTCTTTTTATAAGTTAAGTTATAGATCATAATAGAATAAGAATACCATGCCATCTAAGTGAAATTAGTCAAAAAAAAATTAGAAAAAAACATATTATACAGTGTCCGGAAATTAATGCAACAAAATTTGGTCATAGGTTTTTGAAAAAAAAAATATGTGACCCGCATTTTTTATTTTTGACCAGTCCCTTTTTGGATTTACAGCCCCTTGAATTTCGCTCCTAAAAAGAGTTTTTTTTTTAATATCTCAGGGCCCTGTTGGACGAAAATCACTAAATTTGGTACACGTTGTTTTACCATAAAATTACGTTTTTTGATGCTATGAACTTTTTTTATTTTTATCAGTGGCGTCCCTACGGTATTTAAACTAAATATTATTGAAGAAAAAGATTGTACGCCACTGGTTTCTTTAAATAAAAATTATTTTTAAAATCTACATTAAATTTTGAACAACTTTATCTCTTGATTTTTTTTTCGTACGACGCACCGTTTTCGCATAAAAAAATAAAAACCATTTTCATATATGACCAAATCGCTAAAAATTTTATGTAAATTTTCAAAGCAAAATTTAAAAAACGGCAATTTAGGTTTTTGGACATTTTGGTTCGCAATTAGGTAATAAAAAACAAGATTTTGGAAAATAAAAAATTATTTTAAACTTGTTTGCCGTTTTAAAAATTTTGCCATTGAAATTTACGGTAAAATTTTACCGATTTAGTCATGTAGCATCAAAAAATGTCATTTTACGGTAAACAACGTGTACCAAATTTAGTGATGTTCGTCCAACAGGGCCCTGAGATATTAAAAAAAAACTCTTTTTAGGGGCGAAATTCAGGAGGCTGTAAATCCGAAAAGGGGGGCCACTCGCCAAAAATAAAAAATATGAGTCACCTATTTTTTTACAAGAATCTATGACCAAATTTTGTTGCATTAATTTCTGGACACCCTGTACAGTGTGGCGCCTTTCATACGAGGCGGAGGCTCCAGGGAGAACGGTAGTTTATATCGAAATAAAATTTTGGTTTTGGTTTGGTTTGGTAATTGGTCAGGTTAATTGAAAGCATTTTATAAAAAATATAGATAGTTATACAAGGTGTCCCAAAAAAAAGTTACACAACAAAGTTTTGTTTTTTTGTAATGGAACACCCTATATATTAAATAATTTTTTGATTCTATGGAAAAAAATAAAGGTGAGTTTTGTTTAAGAAGCATAGGCCTAACATGTAAGAATTTTGACATATTTCACATTTTGCGGAAATGAAGATTATAATTTAAATTTTAATAACAACTATCTAAATTGTAATTTACCCTATATAGCCTAACCATTGTATGTTAAACTAAATTAAAATTTGACACGAAAAGTTATACAGGGTGAGACAAAACTAATAATTAGCATTGGTCACATTTAAAGGCAAGATACTTTTAAAATTGTTTTAAATGGAACACCTCGTATATTATTCCGGTGTTCAATGGAGAATTACCCGTCATTATGATTTTGCGTCAGTAGATATTTATTATTTGAAAACAATCTAGGGTGGATGTGTTAATTTAACAAAAATTAAATGTACTGTAATAAAAAGATACACGTTTAAAACATATTTTAACTATTTTTTTTTTCGTGGGGGAAAAATCTGCAAACCAGAGACCGTAAATGGTACTGTCGGGGTGGTTGAGGTACCTTACCGACTAAAAAACCTCCACAAACCGCTTTGAGTATCTCTCCAAGGAACTACCTTTCGGCATTACTTCTGGGGGAGGCAGTTTTATTGTGATGTTGCAGGTAATTGAGCACTTCAGTCAAAGTTGGACACTAGCGAGTGTGGTAAGTACAAAGCAGTACTAGAGCAGTATGGTACACTCAAATTATTCTGCTTTTTTTTTACTTTCCAAACCTTTTGGCTTCGTTTTCCTTTGCAGATATCAGCGCCTCCATATATTCCCGGACTGCTTTCCAGTT